TATTCATAGCTGCTTCGAACCAGACCCGACATTTCGGGATTGCGCACTAGTTTAAATGTTAATTAACCTAACTTAAAATCTAATTTCTACACAAAATTCGCAAATTAATCAGTATATTAGGTGGATCCGAATGTAACGTTTTTTTTCAACGAGACCATACCTATATTTGACCCACACCCTTTTTGACATCTAATCAGACATTTGGGAAATTCTCACTAGTTTAAACGTAAATTATTAATGGTTATGTGATTTGTTTCTCTCGATGAGTAGTACCTAAGGGACTGTGAAGTAAATAATACCGTTCCCTTTAACTTTTCTTAAAAAATCACAAAAATATGTAATCGCTGCAGATAACGACCTCTAGTTTATTTGTTTGAAAGCAAACGGTCTTACTGAAAATATCTTTAAAAAGAGCATAAAATGCATTGCCCTCCCCCATTCCTTTATGCAATCTACAATACCGTTACGAGTTTAGTCGATTATGGTCCTACATTTATTATTAATTCTAAATTAAATAAATAACTTTTTTTTAATTTATAATTCTAGACGAATTGAGTCGTGCCATCTGTTAATAAGATGCCCAACTACACATGTTAGGAGAAATTTTGTTTTAGTGACGCATCCGCATAAGCTTTATTGATTTTCTTTTGTGACCTACAAATAATAATCGTCTCAGCGGTGTCAATGCTATTTTGTTTTTCGAACAAAAATAATATCATTTGGAAGAAGCTTCTCCGACAATGTTAACAGCTTTTTCGCAATCAAGTTTACAATAATGTCTGAATGTTGCAAGTGGAATCTTTTTTCTAATCGTTACGTTGAAAATTATCTATTACCAATAAACATGAAATCGGAAATTTATTGCAAATCGATATTCCATAGGAGACGTAGAAGGTAATAGTAAGAATTTGAAATTAAATTTAATCCTTTATAAAGATAATGATTAAGGTTAAAAATTAAATGCAGAAACCTAAATTAAATGCTTAAAAACCATATGCAAAAAATTGAAAAAAAAAGATTTTGTTACCAATAGATTGAGGATGTTTATTTCTGATCAGTTACAATATTACATTCATATATATTTTTAAGTTATTGTGTAATGTATTTTTTTTTTCTATATTTTAGGTGGAACTGTATTAAAGGATAAACACCAGAGATTGGTGTCATTTGTTGATTGGGTAATTGGGAACTGATACTTCAAGGAATTACTTAATTCTTTATTGAAAATTAAAGAATACTGTCATGTTTTAAACGTCAAATTAAACCGTCAAGCTAACAATCAAATACAAATAACATTCGCGTACTTGAGGCCATAGAGTTTACGTCTGAGGTGTTCTGTAAAGTTAGGTTATAAGGTTATAATTGATAGGTGGCTACCCCGCGGTAAGTCTTATTAATTAATTAAAAAAAAAAAGAAATAAATTAACCCTTTCAGGACGGCACTCAAAAGTAGGTTGCGTGCCACACGGACGGGAGTTTTTGCAATGGCAAACAGGCGGCTGTCAAATATATACGACTGTGGAAAAAGTTGTTTTTATTGAAGAAATAATCAAACAATACAAAATTAACTAAAACTCTTGGTAAAGCAAAAATATAAGAACAAAAATTAACAAATAATAAAAATATTAGGAACAAAATATCAAAAATAAGTGTGAGCCTTTTCTTCTGATCTAGTCTTTTTTCCCCGTTTCTACTGCTACTACTAATATTTGATCTGTTCGTGGTATATTTGGAAACATGGTGCAACACAGAGCCCGACTTCACAATCTTTGCACATGAATCTCGATTCTTTCCTTTTTTTTGCACCGTTTGTTGTATGCGAGCAGACCCAGCATCTTCTCATTTGCGCTTTCCCATTTTTGCGAGGAACTTCTGAAGGGAAGTGCTTTCCTAATAGTCTGGCCACGGTAGGAGGTTGTATGTTTTGTTTCATTTGGTATTGCGCTGGATATCTAAAAAATGCGTACGATAAAAAATTTACAAAAATAAAAGAATAAAAATACCTTTCCAGAAGCTGCCGGATAACTTCTAAATGGAAGGCAGGAAATAAGATGTTACTGGCATTCTGGGTCTTATATAAAGCATGCGCATTTAGCATGCATATATCGAGGGTACGAAGAAATAATTTCTTGTACCATTTTAAGGTTTTTCGCGTGCAATCCGTACTGGTAATCATCATGTCACTTCTGTCAATTGCCCCCATCCTTTCATTGTAAGCCAGTACACATAATGGTTTGGTCTTATTTTCATTAGTAACCCTATCAACCTTACTAAGCGTAATCATTTTATTTTCGTGAAAGGTGGTCAGCATTACCACGTCACGACGATCTCTCCATTTCAATACTAGCATTTGCTCACTGCTACGCCACTCTGTTTCCCCTTTCTTCAGCTTTTTTTCAAATATTGGCATGTGTTTACGATTTATGCGAACAGTTCCGCAAGAGTTTGTTTTGTGCTGAAAAAGATAATTTGCCAAAGTAGGACTTGTGTAGTAGTTGTCACTGTAAAATGAATGGCCTTTGTTCAGGTAGGGCTCCAAAAGTTTCACAACAACATCACCTGACAATCCTAGACCGCTGTCATTATCTCTATTTTTAACATTATTTTTGCCAGTATATACCAAATATCCCAAAACATAACCTGTTTCACAATCGCATAAGACATAAACTTTTATTCCGAAACGGTGTCTCTTGGTTTTTATATACTGTTTGAAGGACAGCCTCCCTTTGAAAAGAATCATACTTTCATCAATGACGACATTTTCAAACGGATAAAAATTACTTTTGAAATTGTTTTGTATCAAATTCAAAACGTGTTCGATTTTGTGCAGACGATTACCTTCCTGTGCATTTTGATTATTACTAAAATGTAAGTGCCTTAGTATTTGTAAATAGCGATCTCGAGACATTGTTTGGCGGAAAAAGGGCGTGCCAATTAAATTATCTGTAGACCAGTAGTCCTTTACATCGGACTTTTTAACGTGGGGCATCAACAATGTGAGGGCTATGAAATTGTAAAACTCTTGTTTATCAACGTTTTTCCAATCTTTAGCATTTTGTTGTTGAGCGAAAATATTGGTTTCTGCAACAATAGTGTTGACTACTTCTTCCGAGAATAGGTTCAAGAAATACTCTATTTCCTTGTTTTCATTTTTTAGGTTTTTATTCTGTAGTCCACTATTAGTGACGTCAAACTGGTGAACTTTAGGAACAAACTCACGTGAATCCCATTTTAGCTGAAATTCCTCCTCACGTATATTTTGATCAGAGATATCCGAAGCTACTAAATGTTCTTGTTCTTCGGTATTTTCGTCTTCCAACAAGGTTTCGTCGTCTTCTCCGGAGCTCAATTCACTGTCAGAGTCAGGGATATATTCGCTGCCACTGTCGATAAATGGTTCGTCCTCACTCAAATATATATCACTATCGTTCAGAGCATTCATAATATTTTTCACTTCCTTCCCAGACAGTCCACAATAAGTATTACAACCCGACGGACCCGCGTGATTTTTAGATGACATTCTAAAACATGTTCTAAAACAGACTGGTACTAAACGCACGTGGTCTATCAGGGTATCACCTGACCTTGCCATGTTGCCGCGTATGTACGACAATGTCGGATATCCACGACATCCGTCTGTGTGACAAACACAAACTGTCGGAACGGTACGACGGCCGTCGGTGGGCCAAATTAAAAATTTATGTATGCCATATCTGAAACGACAAGCGTACAGAAGGGAAATGAGCTGCTGTCGGCTATATACGACAGCCGTCCGTCTGCCAAAAAAGTTGGTGACGGGTATATACGACAACCGTCTTGAAAGGGTTAAACCTCACATAAGGGATACAAGATAATAAGAGCCGGGTAACCAGCTTACAATGGAAACGTCACAAGGGGATTGATACATGCTTAATTCCCAGAATAATTCACAAAAGTCAAATAATCTGGTAGAAGATACTAACTTAGATAATGGAAATAGGTATAAAAGTACAAATTTACCTCCATACTCTATTTATCTAGAATCAATCGATAACAATATAGGATATATGAAAGATTTAGTAATTGGTAAAAAACTTTTTGATAGTGGCATTGAAGGAATTAATAAAGTGGAGAAAAGAGGTCGGAACCGGGTTGAAGTTGAATTTAATTACTATAAAAAAGATTTCATTATATCCGAATATACTAAAGCAAACAACTGGCGAGCGTATATACCACCTCATCGGGTGTAATATTTAGTATATCGTCGCCGGGCGTGCAATACCTCTAATGTGAATAATTACAAATTTTACAGGAGAACGAAAAAACTATATAATTGAAGGAGATTCGGAAAAATATAAAAATTGTATTGACGCTGATTTATATACATTTTGAATGTAACAGATCACACAAAAACAATCGGAACACCTTTTTTCTCCAAAAATTCGCTTATGCAAGTCACATTGGGGGTATTGCTACATTTTAAAATATCACATTGTTGGTATTTACCACTTTACGGTTTCATTGTACCTATTTTAGGATTTAGAAATAATATATTTGTGCAAAACAAATAAAAGCCCTGTCTACTCAAAAATTTATTTATTATTATATTATTTATTTATGCATAGAAATTTATCAAAACGCTTCAAAAGAAAATCAACTTAATTATTCAACTGAAAGAAAAACTTTAGTTTTTAGTTTTCTTCTTTTTATGTTCGTGCGGCAATGCATCGTAAAATGGATGATGATCTTTTTCTATAACTCCCTTTAAGTCTTGCAAGTGGTTGTATTTGTCGTCAGATATTGGCAGTTGTCTTTTATAAAGCGGCATAGTGTAAGAAGCAGTTTCTTGAGGACATCTTCGATGAGGTAATTCTTGCCAATTTTTAGAGTAGTCCAAGGTGTATAAAACTTTACCATCAGGTAAATATTTTATTTGACGAACATCGACTACAACGGGATCTCCCACACGCTTTCCTGGCCTAATGGACGGAAAATTAGAAGGCATTTCATATTTTTTAAAGAAAGTGTGATCTAGAACTTTTATCTCGTATGGAAGACTTGGTCGAGCTAGCCGCATTCTTGCCACGTAGTCAGTTGGTGAGTTGATAGGAGGATGGAAGTAATGTTCTAATGCTGAATGGACAGAATCAGCTTCCATCATGGTATGTCCCTTTTCTAAGAAAAGCTGGTGAATTGTTACTTTTTTTTCAACGGCAAAGTCATTAAGAGCACTTGCCAAGACCTTATTGCGGTTTTGATAGTTGCATCCGTCCGAAATCAGAACAAATGATCTAATTTTGTTCTGGTCCTCCAGCTTGGACAGCAAGTAATCAATTACACAGGACGTGAATTCATTCGATGAAACTCCGCCATTGGCTTCGTGCCATACATATAGCGCAACCCTTTTGTCGTTTAACGAATAAATGGTAAAATTGTGTAGTTGTAGCTTCAGCTTATAGTAGCTTTCTGAAGCTAGGAGTTTTGGGCATGTCAAAACACTCTGAAGGTCCATGGTGACAACAAAGTTTTCATCACTTGCACTAGCCTTCAGAGCTGCTTTTTCTTCTCTACCAGCTTTTTCTTTTCCACGGTGAAGATTATATTCGACTTCAGAAACATTTCCACATTTATAACCAACACAAGTATCACATTGATCTTTGCGAGGTTTGTGGATAGAAATTTTTTCATCCCTCAAAATACATTTAAATGATTTAAGGTGCGTTACTTCTTTTTCATTTTCTGTACACCAAGTCTTGTATATTTTATACATATTTTGTTTTGAAACAAAAGCATTGTCAACATAATGTCTAGATGAAGATGCTCTACAATAGTGTGACGGTACTTTTGGTATCAAACTAAGCCACTCAACAACAGTGCGGCTTAATTTCTGTTGCTGTATACCTTGACGAGTTTCTTTTTTGTTATTATTCATCGGAACTTCAGAGTGACTTATAGTATCATCTGTAGATGACTCAGAGACCGACCTGCTTTCTTTTAGCCATCTCTTCAAGCAGTCTTCACCCAAACTTAAAGTATGTAAAAACATCTTGTGACAAACTTTGAGTCTTTCCCCATTTCGCTTCGTAAGAAAATAGTCATGACCTTCATTTTTCTTGAAATCACCATCCTTATTTTTTATGTCTTTTCTTCGTCTGCGAATTGGTCTGGTGACAACGAGATTTCGGATAAATAGTTTTTTTTCATTCCAAGTATCTAGCTTCCATAGTCTTCGAAAAATATCTTGTCTGTCCTCATCGGTAAGTGAAGCGCACAAAAAAGATTTTTTTGTTATTTTTTCTATTTCTATTGTGTTGTGATTGCATCTTGCCTTTAGATGTCTAGCTTCCCTTGGAGTACGTGTTATATGTTTTTCTTTATTTCTTCTGTAACCTTCATAACCTTTACCTCGAACTCTTTTTAATTTTGCTTCTAGCTTGTCTCCTCGCTTCAAATGTGTCCTTTTCTTTAAAATGATTTCGCCTTCCTCATCACTATTTTCTGGTTCAAAATCAGAATCGTTTTCTGCATTTTTTATTTGTTTATATTTTTTACCCATCTCTGTACCTCCTCTAGAATCAGAATAAGGATCTTCCGATTGTTTTTGTTCTTCTTTGCCCTCTACTGCCTCTTTGACGTTCTCGAACTTTACACGGACTTCATCCTCTGTTTCTTCGTTGTTTTCTATGATACAAGGATCTTCGACAGATCCAAAATCAGTGTCTCTTCCTGTGTTCTCCATCTCCTCTGGAACGTGAATGAGCACAAAATGTGGACTTTGGATTTTCACCCAGACCAAAAGTTGAATGCCTATCTGCAGTTTCTACCTCATTCGATTTTTCCAGGACCGTGTCATTCGTGTGCAGGTATCTATCATTATTACCTGGCTCCTCTACGTAAATACTGTCATTACACGTTTCTAGTTGAATTCTCTTCTTTTTTTCTTCTATCAGATTGGTGTATTCCAATGATTGTGGTTGTGGAACTGCATCTTCACTTTTCTGCGACATATCATCATTCACTCTATCAAGCGTCCCATCGGAGTTAACTACATAATTTCCAGTAACTATTTTTGGTGGATCTGGTCGAGATAAACAGTTCCTTTTGGTACTGTTATTCATCTGCACCAGGTTCATTATTTTTCGTGTCCTTGAAGACATTTTTCCTGGAAATAAAATACTACATTCAAGCATAAAATTTGGCTAAAAATATTTATACACAGGATACTCTGCATGAAAAACCACTCCTTCTTTATCATTTCAAGGAATGTGAAATGAAATACTGTGACTATTCTGATTTGTTCTAAAATCTGACTGGTATCAAAACAATGTCGAAGTGATTAAAAAGAAATAAATGGTTCTACCAGCGAGAATTCTTGAGAGTAAAAGTATTTACCCCTTTTTGTTTNTTCTACCAGCGAGAATTCTTGAGAGTAAAAGTATTTACCCCTTTTTGTTTACTTCTGCTAATGGGTCTATATTTTCACAAATCGTCTTATAACACAAAAATAAACTATTTATTATAAAAAATGATACATACCTTTATAACGGCTTCTTCGATTCTAAATTCACTTCAAGCACTAATTTAGCTTTCGAATTTTAAGGAAATTGGCAAACAAACGTTGTAAATAAACTGTTTAACCGCCGTAGAATTGAATTTAGAGGTTAGGAAATACAACCGATGTGCATTCAGTCTTGCGAAAATATAAATCCAATGTACTAAAGAACGCACATCGGAGGTATTGAACGCCTGGTAAATAACACCAATGTTGCTTAATTGCACATTGGGTATATTTCTGTCATAGTATTTGGACATGCGTCACATTGGCGATTGAAAAAGTTGTTTTGAATACCATGTTAGTGGACTGCGGAACATTAGAGATATCGCCAGAAGATGCGGCAATCTCCAATGCGTCTTTTAGTGTCAAAACCTAGATTTAGGAAGGTATGTCACATTGGAGGTATTGCACGCCCGGCGACGATATATCGAAGGCTTCAAGTCAGAAGGGTGTATCAACCAATACTTAAATTTACAGGAAACAAAAAAAAAACACTTCAAAATTACAATTTTTTGCAGTTCTTCACAAAAACTAGGGAATATACAATTAGAAAGCTTATTATTAAGACAAGTTAATTAAAATTTTGACATCATGGATATTTTTCTACTAATTGAGTATACGCCTTTCTGTCTTGATATAATGTTTCACAAAAGCTGTAAGATCATTTACAGTAACATAAGATAAAAAAAAATAGAAAAATTCTAAGTGGTAGGTGCAAACTTTATTATTTAGAAATTTCATTTTGTTTTACGGCGCAGTAGTTTTTCTTTGCTCAACAGTGCTCCTTTCTACTGGGAGAGACTTGTAAAAGTGGTGATACTGCTGGGGTATTACAGCATCCTTCTGATTACACATTTCTTGAAGGTTCACAAACTTTTTCTTATTTAAAGGTATACAAGAACTATACAGAGGATTAATTGCTGTTACAAATTTTTCTTGCTATTCTTCCTTTTCGTGTAATATTTGCACTTTGGAATTCATCCCAATATTCATTTTTGTATTGAAAGTAGTTGCTTCTTCCTTTTTCAAATCTCAGCCATTTAACTACCTTCCAGTTGACATTTCCACCTGCCTCACTCCTTTTAGAATTTACCATTACTTTATTCTTCAATTCTTTATAATTTAAAAAGTCGCTATACTCCATCACCTGTACGTTGTACGGTTTTTTTCTATTCGCCAGACGTACGACATTAACCCAGTCATTGGGCCAGTAGATTTTAGTATACTCTGAAGCTCGTTCTATAGTGGCATGCATGGAATCATACTCCATGTGAGTGTGCCCTGATTCTAAAAATTTCAAGTCGATGATTTGAAGGCTGGTGTGTTTTACAGCTTCTAGGAGCATGCATGCCACTATGGAATTCCGATTCTGTCCAGGGCAACAGTCAGAATGAAGAACTAAATGACGTGTTTCTTTTGGAAGAGACTGTATAAATTTCGAAAGGCATGTGGCTACTTCATTGGCTCCTCTATTTCCCTCATATTCGGGCTAAACAAAGCAATGACCTTGCTGTTTTGCTGTTTCGTATATCGTGAAGTTAAATGTTGCTAACTTAAGTTTATAAAAAACTGGTTTAGCAAATAATAGTGATGAATACAAGACAGCTTCAAGATCAAAATTGGCAGAAATATAGCTAGGGTCTTCTTTTGCCTTTAAAGCATCGCTTTTCTTTTCTTCCAATGCAGCTATTATTCTACGAACATGAAGCTGATACTCAATTAATTTCTCAGCAGGTCGTTCATTTGCAGGTATTTGCTCGAAGTGATGCCACCAACATTGATCTTTTTTAGGAATGTGAAATCCTATATTTTTTTTTATCAGTAGTTCTCTATACGATGTTGCAGAAATAGGTTTTTAGTTCATTTCTGTACATTTCTTTTTGTAGAGTGAATACATTTTTTCTTTATTTAAAATTGATTCTAGATAATCTTTTTTAGTATCTCTCCAACACCAATGTGCTGGCACACGGGGGAAAGAATCGATGTGATTCTCTGCGAATTTAATTGTTTCTTCTGTATGCTTAACCTCT